GTGACGAGCCAACTCATAAAACCTCATATCGTAATGTGTCACAGACATGTCATCCTGACGAAGCTGCTCAAATTGTCTACCCAACTCCTCTTTGCGAGATTGCGGCACGAACTTCTCCAGGAAGAGAACAGACAACTCCGGCCATGTAAGTGGTGCTGCACCGACCGGCTTGTGCCTCTCATAAGCCTCCCACCACCTGAAGGCAGTCCTAGAAAATTGAAAAGTAGTGAACGAGACCCCATTGGTCTCCAGAATACCCGATGTCCGAAGCATCCGCTCGCACCTATCTAGAAAGCCCTAAGCATCCTCTGACTCAGCACCACTAAATGTTGGAGGTCGAAGCCTCCAAAATCTCTCAAGCCTCCTATGCTCATCGTCTGTCATAACGGGGACTACCAGGTCCTAAGCAGTTGCAGTCGGCTGGGCTGGTAATGCCCCCGGTATCTTAAGTCCCTGCACTACCTAATCTAGAGTATGGGCAACAGGGGTATGAGTATCTCCCCGGCCTGAGAAGTGGCAGGTGCGACATGAGCCAAAACCACCTGAGCAAGGCCAGTGCAAACTGTCAATATCTGGGCCAAAGCCTCCTGAAGGCTGGGAATCACAATGGGCACAGCTGATCCCATAGGTTTGTCCACAACTGGAACCTGCTCCTGAACTAGGGCAACCGGTGTATCTGCAGTTGCTGCCCTAGCTGATGTGCGAACTGCACCTCTGCCCCTTCCGCGGCCTCTACCGCGGCCTCGACCTCTCGCGGCCCTTGCAGGTAGTACTGATGGTTATCCATCCTACCCAGTAGTATGCGTTCTCACCATCTGTGAGAGAATAGAATAGCAGAAGTTTAGTTACTGGAATCAATATGTATAATTTCCTAAGGGTTCGGCAGCCTCTCGAAGATAAGTATAGACGTCTCCGCACCGATCTGCAAGACTCTACTATACTTGCTCATGACTCGTGAGACCTATGTAACCTAGGCTTTAATACCAACTTGTCATAACCCCAAAACCAACCGTCGTGATGGCGCCTATTGTGGAACTAGGCAAGCCAACTATATAACCAGGTCACCAAGTAAAAACTTTGAAAATAAAATGAAAGCAGTTAATATTCAAGAAACCATTTAAAATCCAAAATAAAACTACAACGCAATACGAATCCATCCCAAAAATCGGGGTGTCACAGAGTACATGAGTATATATATCAGAATGTGGTCTACTACAATGTCTAAGGAGTAAAAACTGAAGTACAAATAAAGATAATGAGGGAGAGTCAAGGCCTGCGAACGCCATGCAGCTACCTCGATAGTCTCCGAGATTCTGTCTCCTCAATCAGCAGCCGCCGCAACCGGAAGTACCTGGATCTGCACATGAAGTGTAGGATGTAGCGTGAGTACAACCAATTCAGTAAGTAACAAATCCCAAACTGTGGGCTGAAAGTAGTGACGAACTCAACCGGCACAACTCAATACAGAAAATAATAGTGCACAAATGTAGAAGTGCTTTCAAGCTCGATAGATATCTTAAAACAATAAAATGGATCAATCTGAATGATATGAAAAATATAACTCATTTACTTCTACCATGACAATGCACATGTTATATATGATGCACCATTCTGACAGCCTCATGTGCTCACACTCTCGACTGCTCAATCACTCGGTATTGTATATGGCACAAACGGCACAGGGAAGATCCATCCCGGAATATATACATCACTGACCATCAGTCACCCAGTACCGAGTAAGAAAAATCCAGCCCGTGGAGAAGATCCATCAACAGGTATAAAATGCTTCGGACAAGATCCATGTTCAGGGAAGATCCATCCCTCAATAATATCAATCGCGCTAGCTGGGGGTGTGTGCAAACTCCGGAGGTGCTCGTTTAGCCCAAGCGCCATCATAAATCAGTATAACTGCTGCGGTGTGCAGCCCGATCCCATAAATTGCACTCATAATAAGGCCATCAGCCTCACTCAGTCATCAATCTCTCCAGTCTCTCTCTCACGGGCTCACAATATCATGATACTAGCCCGAAAACAATGATATGATGTATCAATAATTAACAACAGAGACTGACATATGATATGAAATGAAATGAATGAATATGACTGAGTACAAAATATCAATGAAATCAGTAAGACAACGGCAGGAAACGACCACTATGGGTCCCAACAATATAGACATAACGCCTAAACATGATATCTAGCATGAGTGACAGCTCAATTACTTTATCACATGATGAAAATACGGATATTTACAAGACAGAACCACTAGGAAGTGTCGTGGAATCGACCATGTCACAATTCTCATGGTGCACGCCCACACGCCCGTCACTTGGCATGTGCGTCACCTCAATATCAATCACATAACACATAATTTGGGGTTTCGAACCCTCATAACCAAGTCTGAAAGTATTACTTACCTCAATCCGGGCTAAACTTTACTCTAAAATGCCTTTGTCCCTCAAATCGGTCTCCAAACATCCCAAATCTAGCCACAAGCAATACAATACAATCAATATAGGCTAAAGGAATTAATTCCACAAGGTGTATTGGCCCTGCACAAACCGCTTCTGCGCACAAATGGTCGCATTTGCGGCCTCTGACCAAAGCATCCCTGGTCGCTTCTGCGGGCTCTTTTCTTGCTTCTGCGAGCTCGCATCCGCGGTCCCCAATCCGCAGATGCGATTACACCAGCAGCCCTCAAACTTTAGCAGTTCTTCAACTTCAAATCTTGAACCGTTAATCACCCGAAATCAACCTAAGGCCCCTGGGACCTCAACCAAACATACCAACACGTCCTAAAACATCATACAAACTTAGCCGAATCTTCAAATCACCTCCAACAACATCGAAAATACGAATTGCACACGGATTCAAGCCCAATGAACTACGAAATTTCCAAATTCTACAAACGACGCTGATATCTTTCAAATCACGTCTGATTGACCTCAAATTTCGCACGCGAGTCACAAATGACCCCACGAACCTACTGCAACTTCCGGAATTGGAATCCGACCCCGATATTAAAAAGTCAACCCCCGATCAAACTTCCCAAAAATTCGACTTGCACCATTTCAAGCCTAATTCTACTCCTGACCTCCAAATTATAATCCGGACACTCTCCCAAGTCCAGAATCACCCAACGGAACTAACAAAATCATCAAAATTCCAATCTGAGGTCGTTTATACATAAGTCGATGTCTGGTCGATTTTTCCAGCATAAGATTTCAATTAAGAGACTAAGTGACTCAATTAACTCTAAATTCACTCCGAATCCGAACCAACTAACCCGATAAGTCATTAACAATCATAAAGCACAAATGTAGTAGTAAAGGGGGAAACAGGGCCACAACTCTCGAAACGACCGGCCGGGTCATTACAATTTGCTGTGAAATTAATTGACCTCGTTGTATCTTTGAAATTGGTTGTGTCCTATGGGCAATCTATAATATGAACTATTGTTTTGTAATGTCGTGGTAATATCCGTGTAAATTGTTGTGTGATTTGGGTTACTGTTATGCGGTGGATAAGGGTGGCATTCCACTGTTGATATTATGTGGGTATAAGGGTGGCATTTCACTGTGGTTATGTGTGTTGGGATATTGTATGGGTGAAGCGATAAGGGAAACTATTATAGGAGTGGTAAGGGTGGCTATAGGAGTGATAAGGGTGGCTATTGATATTGTCAGGGCGGAGGGATAAGGGTGGCTATTGTCAGGGACGATATGTGATGATGTGGGATTAATATGTTGGTGAATTTTATGTGATGTTATGATTTCCTTGTGACTTCTTTTATATATTGTGCAATTTATTTTATAAATTCAATAAATTTGATAATAGTCAGATATATGTTGAAATTATGAGCCTGTAGATATTGCCGGGCGGATTATGATATGGGCACGAGGTGCCAGAGAAATATGATGAATTCACTATTGGCACGTGAATTGTCCGTACAGTTATGATATGAAATATGGGCACGAGGTGCCGTGGTTATATAATAAAAATGCTATTGGCACGTGAATTGTCCGTGCAGTTATGATATGAAATGTGGGCACGAGGTGTCGTGAGTAAATGATGATGATATTGGCACGTGAGTTATCCGTCCGGTTGTGATAGAGATATTGGCACGAGGTACCGTGAAAATATGAAAGTGGGTTGAGACCCATCAAGGTGACTTTTATTTGAAAGGATTATATTCAAAATATTATTTGAAATAATTATATTCGAAAGATATTTATTTGAAAGAATTATATTTGAAGGATATTTAATTGAAAAGGGGTATATTCGAAATATATTTATTGGAAAGGATTATATTCTATAGATTTCTATTCAAAAAAACTTATAGATGAAAGATATATATTTTGAAGGACTTGATTATTGGTTGTACTTGTGTTCATTACCTATTTGAGAAATATTTATGGAGTTCTTGTTGCCTTGCTGTTTACATCACTAGTTGATTATTGTTGCTATCATTGCTATTTATTTTCTATTATTTTTATATACTATATTGCACAGGTTATTAGACTAGTGAGTGTATTGACTATACCTCGTCACTACTCCACCGAGGTTAGTCTTGATACTTACTGGGTACCGACTGTGGTGTACCCATGCTACACTTCTGCACAATTTTGTGCAGAGCCAGGTATTGAAGATATCGAACTCGGACAGAGTTAGAGTGCGATCGCAAGGATTCAAGGTAGAGTTGCTTGTCACCTCAGTCCCTTAAAGTCTTTCCATTTTATTGTACTGTTAATCATTATTCAAACAGTATTGAGTATTCGATCCTTGATATCATTTCATATATTCAGTTAGAGTTCATGACTCAGTATTTCTAGTCTTGAGAGGTTATTTGTAATTATTTTCGTTGTTGGTTTCGATTATCTATTAAAAAAATGGTTTGAATTGTAATTATAATTAGCTTACTTAGTCTTAGAGACTAAGTTCCATCACGATGCCTTGTTGTGGGATTTTGGGTCGTGACATTTCGCGAGAATAACAGGGTATTCTTGTAGTTGCCTTACTTGTCTCAGTAACTCAGTTCCTTCATTGCTTGCCAAGTCTTCCTATATAGTGAAGAAAATAGGTTTCTTCCTGTACATTTGGAAGTGTCAGCTAGAGATTTTGTTATGTAATAGAAGATTAAATGACTTCACATGTTGTCCATAACTATGGCCTCTTGAAATCTCTTAGTCTGATCAAAGGTGTATTGCATTGCCCCACAGTTTGCCACCACGGCTAATAGATCTGTTGTTATAAACAAAAAACAAATTTAGGTAAAACCAATATTTTTGCATTCACCATGAGTTCCAAGCAATTAAGTTGTTATAAGGCATAGACTAATTTGAAACATACCAAATTCAACACCGCAATGCTATTGTTCAACATCGAGGAACGTCATGGTACTCAGTCTCGACGGAGGAGGTAACGGTGCCTCCTTTTCATTATTCTTTGGCATAGACTCCATGAACCTGTCGACGACCCATTCAAACTGGTTGATATGTAGTGAATAAGGCTGCGGATTTCTAACCTTGGCAGTTGAAATCAGATACATCTCAAAAAGTTCGAACAAGTTATCACATCGTCTAATGTCGTCACCATACAGTATTACACAAATTTTTTCCTCCTACAATGTTATTAAGAACGATAATGCACTAATTATTGGAAGAGTATAAATGAGAAGATCTTATGTTATAGTTATAGTTGTAACTTGACTTACGCTTTCATCCTGGACAATTATTGTCTGAAAACGAACTTGCTAATCTCTGTTGTATCGCGGTCGAAATTTGTCTACAGCCTGGACTTTGCAAGTCCATTCTGTAGTTAGTGGTGCAATTTCACTGATGCTAAATCTTTCTTCCATTTTATCAATATAACCTGCATATTAATAATCGTAAAATTGTAAGAACAAACCATCCCACATTACAACTATAAGACAACAAATATACATAAAATACACTTGAATTTTTTTCCAACAGTTAGAAATTCCTAGTGAAAGTTGGATCTGGATTTTTTAATCACTACATTTCAGAGTGCTGGAACTCCCTGCTTCACGCGTTCTATAATCTCTATTCCTTTGTGGAAACAAAAATAACTTGTCAAGATATACGTCATACCAGAACAATAGAATATAGCATAGAAACCGGCAAGTTTGTACTTTCGAAAATATGACAAAGGATTAAGGACATACTTCCCTATTAATGAAGATTTACTCAATTACTTTTTTTGTAAAATCCAGTTGATGGCATATCATTTTATTGTCAAATAAATAATTTAAAACACAACAGTATATCAGATATACTAATTTCATACAGAAAATGTAGTACACATAGTCATATGAGAAGACATCATTTACAACATATTTATAGTAGAGGAAGGCAGTAGATAAAGAAGCGAATAAGTACAGAAACATCTAAACCAACCATAGATAGTTATCTCCTAAGCACATATTTTAGTAAAATGCAAAGTCATATTTTGAATGTCAAAAAGAGTGCAGCAGGCATAATTTTTTACTCATAGAGTGAAAGATAAGTTTTAACTTCAAATGGTAATTTCTACCAGAGAAAAGAACACATAATATTTTAGTAAACCTAGAAAATATGAAAATCTCATTTAGTTTGCCCTTCTTCGAGACATATTGCAGCATTATGGCCCATCAGCACAAAAAAGTTGGTCTATTCTGATAACAAAGCGTTAAAAAATTAGAAAACATTAAGCAATATAGTTAATGCAAAAAAATAACTTAACATATCATACTTTGTAAATGGTTCCTGCTAGAAAATAGAAGCATATTACTTGTTCTCTTTCTTTTAGCTGGCCTTCTCACTCAAGTTTGGTAATGCAAGTAATTTTAGCACTAATAGTAAAGTTTAATATTTTTGCCAGTAAACATAAAAAAATATCAACATCTTTGGTCTATAAATATAGTACAAACAGAAGAAAAAAAAATATCATCAGTAATTTGGACGTACTATATGTCATCTCGACATGTAATATTTTGCTAGTATACTTCGCTATCTTCAATAATACCTCTATAAATAAGACAACTCCAGTAGGATAAGGAAATCACAGCTGACAGACCTTGATCGTAACAGAATTTAACAAAATAATTTACTTTCTTAGCAAATATGAGATAAAGGCAATTCACTGGACATAACATGCCTTGAAACTCTTTTAAGTAGATATCTTAGTTAATATCTTTGTGGTAACAAAGAAACTTTTAGGTCCGGAGGATTCATTTTTTTCAGGATATCAGGCAGTTGTACATTAAATATCACATAAGGGGCTGCCGATAGTAAATACTACAATTGCAGCACCACGAGTTTAGGTAAAACAAAAATCAACATGAACACAGCCCTACTACTCATAATATCCATTAAGAAAACTAAATTTTGTTTAAGAAAGCAAAATCAACAGATGTCAAAACAATTTTCAACCAAAAATAATCATAAAGAATACAAATGAGGTGGCAAAGAAGATCTTACAGTGAGAAGGAGTTAACTTTGGGGCTTAAGCTACAGGTGGCTTTATGTTGTTATAAACACCATTTCTTCACAATGATACAACCTATCAAAAATACACAAACAAAATCTTGATATTCCATTTTTTGGCCGTGGAAAACTTTGAATTTTTCAATAGAATTCCAATTCAAAAACATCGAAAGCAATAGCACAAAGGTGGAAATGATAAAGCCAGGGTTTTAACTGTGAATGATTTTTCTTGTTTATAAAATATACGACAAAAGCAGCATATTGACTGATTATACATCTGAGTCCATTTTTTTATACCTTCAACAAATGAATAAAATCCTCAAGATATTATAACTAATCAACTTGATATCTCAAATGATGAAGTTGGCGTTCATCAAAATTTTGATTATTCAGAAGCTGATGATAATCATTCTTCTATACATAGCATTTATAGTAAAAAAATATCAAGAAATTGCACATATGGATATGCAAAATAAGTTGTTATTAAAGATCAGTAAAGCTGAGTTCTTTGGTAAGGAAATTACACTGACAAAGGCAGAAAACCAAAGATTTCATAAGTGTTTCAGTCTGTGAGATGAGTATCTCAAAAAGAAAAAACCTAATGAGATGGAACCCAAAAAATAGAAGAGAGAAATAAAATGTGAAAACAGAAATCCCTAATTTAAACACCTACCAATTTTAACCAAATACCAGCGAGTAAAGAAGAACGACAGAAAAATTCTCACCAGACGTATTGTTATTGAGAAATCCAGCAAAGGCTCACGGAGAAAACTCGATAGACGATATAGAGGAGAAGAGATGATGGAGCTAAGTAAAATCCGATGAAATTTCATAGAAAACATCGACAAATATCTCATAGCCCGCTTACTCACCAAAATTCAGCACACGTGTAAGCGCAGGGAACACAAAAGCTATGCGAAAATACTTAAATACCCCTGTGTCTAAGCAGGGATATCGACGGTGAGCTGCTTCTGCGCTCTTCTATATAGTAGGAAGAATTAGCAGTCGATGGAAAGATGGAAGTTGCAAAACCCCCGAAATTAGTCCACAAATAAAAATAAGCTCATCGGTCAGAATTTGGAGAACAAAATTAATAAATATGTATATATCTAAAACATTTATGTATAACTATTTCGAAAAATGTAATGTGTGGTTGATTTGAGTTCAATTTGACTTTTTTTTGTTGATATCAAATTATTTATCGTCGAGGTAACTTATTTTTCCAATAACAAATCAAATTAAACCAAGTCACTAGTCGAGTATTTTTTTTTTTCCAATTTGATTCAAACTTATCGATTTACTGCAGTTTGTCGATTTTATTTGTACACAATTAGTCATGTAATGAACAATTATTGCAGGATCTATTCAATCTTGAACCCTCGTTTATTTCAATCGGTGTTTTAAAAGGCGGGGGCATGAGGTGGAGCGTTTTACTTGATATAAGGCGAGGCGTAAGCCCCAAGGATCTTTAAATTTTTTAATTTATAAATTAATAATATAGCATTATTAACACAAAAAATATATAAAGTACATTCAAAGTTCAAAAAAATTGGAAAAAAAAATAGAAAGACTCATAGAAAATAAAATATCTAGCAGGTTTTACAAATATAAATAATACAATAATGTTAAAGTTACTAATATATCAACTATAACATCTTAAATTTCAAACAATAACAAATTATAATTTCTAAAAAAAATATGATCAAACTGTATATTTTACCTCCCTAATAATAAATACACTATATATTTTATCAATACTATAATTTAAAATTATTACTCCTACATGAGTAAATATAAAATTATATTTAAATAGCAAAATAGTAGATGTATAATAATTTTGAGAGGCATTGAACTAAGACATGAAGATCTAGCAAGTAAAGATATAAATTTTGGCTACCTATTTTCAGAAAAATTATTCAAATGATATACACCTCATAATGATATCAATTAGTAAATATGCAATATTATGCTTCATTATTTGAGTTATTCAAAATCTTCATTCATATAGATGAAAGAACTTTAATTATTCAGGTGTTAAAGAATTTTGAGAGTAAAAAGTGTTAATTAGTGAATTCGATACATGATCTGCATAGAAACTGTTGGGCGAGCTCCGGACGTTGAGCATTAGGCATGTTTAGGGCGCATAGTCGGGCGCTTCAGGGCGTAAGTCTCACAGAACTAAGCCTCACACATAAGTCTCAAGGCGTTTTGATAGTGTCCCGCCCCTGAGCGAGCCCCGAGGCGAGTCCCAAAAAAGCTTTTTAAAACACTGGTTTTAATTTGACGATGATTGCAAAGGTTAATTTTTAGAGATTCTTTTAGTATTTCTCTTTTGATTTTTAACTTTCTTGTGTGTATCTCAGCGGGTTTGTACATGCACCGAAAGTGCGCAAAACCACCAAATATTGCCAAATGTTTGGACTTCCTTTTCATATATGATATACTCCCACTTCATACCTAAAAAGTTGCAGAGAAAGTTTTGGATTCTTTAAACTTTTTCCTTCTTGTAGAATTAAAATTTCTAAAGTCTTTTGTCCTTATATTAGAAAAGAGCCTTATTCTCCTAATGAAAATATCAAATTTGATGAAGGACCATCTTTATAATGTGAGATCAAATTATGCATGCACCGCGGGAAGGAATGTATTGTCAACTACTACCAACTTTAGAAAAGATTTTATTGTTGAACAATATTATTAGTCCATTATTTGCAGAAAACTACTTAGCAATGTATCGTTGAATTATGTCAAAATCACGATAAGTTTATGATCTAATTTAATTTTAAACTACTTGGATGTGGTATGTTCATATTGTGATTTAATCAATTTCCCAGCTAATTAAAAGTAAAATATGGTGAATTCTAAAAATCAAATCAAAACACTCCAATCAAATTAAACATGTGTTGGTTAGAATTAAATTTTATTTGTTTTAACCTGAATACCAAAAAATGAATTCAAATAATACACAATCAAATCGAAAAATTGAATGCCTTGCCTAGGTATTGTGTTCTATTCATCAACGTACCAATAAATTATAATACTCAAAGTTAAACAATGTTTAACATAAACGTCTCTTCAGATTTAGGGTGTGTTTGGTATAACGGAAAATGTTTTCCGTGGAAAATGTTATACAAGAAAATATTTTCTTGGAAAACAAGTAGTATTCTTACTCATTTTTCGATGTTTGGTACGCAAAGTAAGGAAAATAACTTTTCAAGAATATTCATAAATAATTTAGATACAATAAATATGAAGCCATAAACTTTCAAACCAACAACCTTCTGAACTCACAAATTTTATAAACTTCTGAACCGCTAAACTCTCGAACCTGCAAACTTCCAAACACATAAACCTCGGAACTCATTGTAACGACCCGGCCGGTTGTTTTGAGAGTTGTAGCCATGTTCCCCAGTTTACTGCTCATTTTTGTATTTTATAGTTGTTATGTGACTTGCTGGGGTAGTCGGTTCGGGTCCGGAGGGATTTCAGAATGAAATGAGACACTTAGTATCAAGGTTGAAAACTTAAGTTTAAATGGTTGTCCGGATGTTGACCTATGTGTAAATGACTCCGGAATGGAGTTTTGATGGTTTCGTTAGCTCCGTTGGGTGATTTTGGACTTAGGAGCATGTCCGGATTATGAATTGGAGGTCCGTAGTTGAATTAGACTTGAAAGGGCGAAAATTGGATTTTTGAAAAGTTGGACCGGGAGTGGATTTTTTGATATCGGGGTTGGATTCCGATTTCGGGAGTGGACTTTTTGATATCGGGGTCAGATTCCGATTCCGGGAGTTGGAGTAGGTCTGTGGTGTCATCTGTGACTTGTGTGCAAAATTTGGGGTCTATCGGACGTGATTTGATATGTTTAGGCGTCGTTTGTAGAAGTTGAAATTTCTTAGTTTCAATAGGCTTGAATTGGGGTGCGATTCGTGTTTTTGATGGTGTGTGATGTGATTTGAGGGCTCGACTAAGTTCGTATGATGTTTTGGGACTTGTTGGTATGTTTGGTTGAGGTCTCGGGGGCCTCGGGCTGATTCCGGATGGTTAACGGATCAAAAGTTGAATTTGAGAGGTTGCTGAAGCTGGAGTCTGCTGGTGTTACCGCACCTGCGGAGCTTTGATCGCAGGTGCGAGCTCACAGATATAGGTTGAGTTGCGCAGATGCGAATTTGGAGGGGAGTGTGAAGGAGGTCACAGGTGCGAGGAGTTTTCCGCACCTGCGTGGCCGCAGGTGAGGCCAGATGGGCGCAGAAGCGGAGGCCCAACTCTAGTGGTTCACCGCAGAAGTGGAAGATTGGTCGCTTCTGTGACGCCGCAGAAGTGGTTAAGTGTCTGCAGAAGCGGAAAGGCTGGGCAGAATGTTTAAAAACAAGGGTTCGCGATTTGGCTTCATTTCAAATATTTTAAGCTCGGGTTTTGGCGATTCTTGAGAGAATTTTTAAGGGCTTTCTTAAGGTAAGTCCCTTGTGCTCATTTTTGATCAATAATCTTATTTCCCCATTGATTTTCCCACCTAGTTGGTGTGTATTTAAGGTGTAAGCCTAGAGAGTTTGATTTGGGGATTTGGGTGACGATTTGGTGTCAGATTTTTGCAAATTTGGTATGGTTGGAATCGTGATTGAATGAGCTTTCGGGTTTTGTGAATTTTAGCGGATTTCGAGATGTGAGCCCGGGGGCTGGCTTTTGAGTTGATTTTTGACTTTTGATTTATAACTTAGTATTTTTCTTCTCTAATTGATTCCTTTAGCCCATGTTGATTATATTGAATTGTTTATGAATAGATTCGAGGCATTCAGAGGCCATTTTACGAGATGAGATTTGCTCGGATTGAGGTAAGTAATAGTTTTAAATTTGATTCTGAGGGTACGAAACCCCGTATTATGTATCATGTGTTTGGTTTTGAGATGACGCACATGCTAGGTGATGGCTTATGGGCGTGCACTGTAGGAATTGTGACTTGGTCAATTCCATGGAACTGTGTAGTTGAATAATCTGTTGTTATCCGTACATTTTCCATGTATTATAGAAATTGAACTGCAAATCATGTTGGAAATCATGTTTAGGCCATGTGTTGACACTGCAAAGTCCCACAGAGGTCGCGTACATGTTGAATTATCTGCTAAATTATTGTTTGTACTCAGTCACTGATTTATTTACATATCATATCTCAGTCTTTATTGTTCCTTGTTGATACATTATATCATTTGTGTGGGTTGATTTTCACGATTTCTGAGAGCCCGAGAGACTAGAGAGGTTGATGACTGAGTGAGGCCGAGGGCCTGATTGTGAGGATATTTATGAGATTGGGCTGCAAGCCGCAGCATTTTTCATTGATATATGCCATGATTGGCTTGTTATGGCGCTTGGGATGAAGGAGCCCCTCTGGAGTCTGTACACACCCCCAGTGAGTGCAGGTACCTACTGAGTGCGAGTGCCGAGTGATGAGCGACTGAGAGGAATGAGTGACTGTGAGGAATGAGTGATTGTTAGGTTGGAGTGAATGGGAGGACTGAGTGACTGCTGCTCTGTGAGGATGTATGTGACCTCATTATTGTTGCATTTCAGCTGTCATATATCACTGTCTTGAAATTTCTGAGAGTTATTATCTTCTGCTTCAATTGAACTTGACATGAATTAATTGTTTTGGTCTTAATTATCGAATTTGAAAGCACGCCTACCTTCCTAAGTTGAAATTACTGTAATTGAACTATAACTGTGAAGCTCGTCACTACTTTCAGTTCTTTATTTAGTATTGTTACTTACCGAGTTGGTTGTACTCACGCTACACCCTGCACTTCGTATGCAGATCTAGGTATTTTCGGACACGGTGGGTGTTGATTCCATCGCACAATTGATCTTTTGGAGATTCCAAGGTAGTTGCCCGGCGTTTCGCAGACCTTGTCTCTCCTTCTCTATCTTCTGCTTATTGTATTTAGTTTCAGACTATCATAGACAGTATTTTCTAGACTTGTGATGTATAGATG